ATATCGCTCGGTCGTTCCGATAATCTCGTGATCTTTGCAGCTGTCACGTCACAGTACAGGTGTGCGTGAAATAGTTTTGATTCTACGCGATTTCTCTCGAAAGCAGTTCCGCGTGAATTGCAAAACGCGACGAGTCACAAAATCTACGAGTTTACAATTAACTCGAGTGCAAACAGGTTTAACAAAGTTACAGTCGCAACGCAATCAACCGTGTTTGCATTTTGCAGCGCCGCGTCGTCTGTGATCAAATAGCATACGCGTAATAGCAATCGGACACATTCGCACGTTTACAATCGAGCTTAATAAATTTGCCAAACGTGGCGGCGGCGCGAAATTTGGAAAATCAGAGCAAAATTACGATCGCACCGATTTTCGCGTCAAATTATGCAGCACTCGATATTTTAAAATACTTTCCAGCTGGAAACCTCCGTCGGCGAACTACGAACGAGAGTTATCTCGCTCCAGTTTCCATTTGCCAACCAATATTGTTCTTTCAAACAGTGCCTTCGTTTCCCTCTTGCAACGCAATTATCATCGTTGGAACAAACTTCGGTTTCGTGTACCTCGGATCAACCACGGCCAACGACAATGGGACGTTACTAACGATATTCAAACAGACCTCGTTTCCACGTATGTACGTATACTTACACTCGTGCTTGCCTGCCCGCGTATAACAATCGTATCGTTGAGAACCAGGCATAAAGCCTGCCGTTGAAAAAGCAGTTTCAATGCGATCTATTATTTCGAGGAGCCTCGTGCTCCTTTCATATTCGACCCCTTCGTCATACTCCCTTTGCCATCGCCCTAAGCCCAAGACTCACAGAAACTGCCGAGCAGACTGTTGGCAGACTTAGCTTTCCCTCCCGTGAAAGTACGCGAAAACGGGCGTCGACGATTGAAACAAAGAGGTATGATGCAAGGTATAATGATCCGTGACGGTGGAGATTTAAGCAGGGCACTCGAGAGCATTGTCAACAATTGGGTCGTTTAATTTAGGAAGCGTTTAACGCGCGGAATCCTCTTTGTCTTCTATTCTATTCTGCTCCCGTAGAAATTAGCCTGCGATTTTGCTTCGAATCGCTTCGTTTTATTCCTTCGTCAGGAACGAAGCTTGTTGCAGAATCGCGCCTCGTGTTTGCTAAGTTGCCTTCCCACAACAGTGGATTTCGATCCTTTTTGTTCCAATTACGGTTGACACATCTCACGACGCGATACGATTTCGTGTGCGACGCTTCGAATATTTCGTAGCGCGACGTTCGTTCGAAGCCATTGATATTTCGTTACACGTGAGACGTGTGATTCAAAGAATCAGCAGATTCGAAAGGGTTGAACTTCTTTCTGTGAAATGTCGTATCTTCGGAACGATTTCCGCGTGGGTGGACGCGCGGAAGTTCAGTCTGCTTGGTGGTTATGGATGTTGCAGAAACTCGCTTGGAAAGTGCTCGGCTACTCGGGCTGTCTACGTATCCGCTTTACGATTGGCGGAATATAGAGAACGCTTTAGTTCTTTTATGTCTTCTTCGCTGGAACTCTGTTACTGATATTCGGCCGAGTTTCGGTGTTTTCAAGTAAAATCTCCGAAATGGCACTTCTCACGAATTTCACTGGTTCGTTCGAAAAGTGAAAAATACTGGATCTGTCTCCCTTCATTAGCTTCTTTCATTCTGCGACACGAGATAACATTGTTTTCGCGTTAACATCCTTCCGCGTAACGAAGTCTACTTTCAGCGGCCACTGCTCGTCTCTTGAATGTTTTCGTTTGAAAAAGAAAAAGAAAAAAGGGAAGAAAATCTACGAAACAAAAAGTCTGAAAGAAGCAAACGAATACGTTATTAAGAAAATGGAATCGATGGAAATTATTTCTCATCGGCAACCAATATTGTAACCGTGTTGTTGCTTACGATTTTCGTATTCTCTTTGACAGTCCAAATCAAATTGCCTCGATAAATCTGCGCATCGCGTCGTCTACGTATGAATTGATTTCTTTTTTTCTGTACAAAGGGATTTTCATTGTTGAGAATTATTACACGTATCGTGGTGGAATGCCAATTTTTTTTCTCTCTTTTAATAGAAATTTTGGAGTATTAACTACGAATTTTGTAAATAAAGCAGTGAGTTCAAAAAAATGAATAGTATCGAGTATTGAGTAGTATCGAGTAAAAAATTACTATTGAATAGTATTGAGTAAAAAATGAATAGAATGTAGATTAGTTTGTTTCATCTTGAATGACAATGACACGTAAAGTTTTATCAAGGATAACTACCAGAGAAGGAAACCAAGAGAACTTAATAAAAGTGAAGAAATCCCACAAACAACGATAATACATTAACAAAACTCAAGAAACTGTTTTCTCTTGATTATTTTCAATAATGCACGCTCCAAGGCGGAACAAATTGATTGCTATTTCTTCGCAGTTTCATCAAAGTCGTAACGATATTATATCGCGGATAAACGGAACCACGAGAGAGAGATAGATCAGCTGCCTAAGATGTATTACAGCATGGTGTAAAAATTCAACTATTCAGACGATCAGCGTATCACGGATGACATCATGAACCGGATCGCCTCGAATTTCCGTTGAAAAGAAGAAAGAAAAAAATGATTTCACTTCCGTGTAGATAAGTACTCTATTCGTGTAAATGCATCGGGTTAATCTTTCATCTTCCGCTTATGCATCGACCGGTTACTGGTGCTTATAATCCTCTCTGAACGCGACCGTCCATCGACTATGGATTATAGCTTACAGCTTACATTACGCGGCAGGACAATTGTATTTATGACAATGCGAGCGCCGATTGGGCATGTCTTGCCGCGATATCGAGGCTGGGCTTCGTTATAATAACCATTCAAGGCACGATCTGTCGCGTGAAATGCCAAACGACGACACTCGTGTATGGAGAATGTGAAGAGGTGGGGAGAACAAAAGTGCAGAGGAAGTACGTAGATGCATTCCGCTTGCCGGGTGAATTCATTTTGAATTCACTTGTCATTATTTACCATCTCTGTAAAAATAGATACAGCTGGATAGAATATTTGATTCTTAATGCTGGATTAAAATCAATTTGTAATTTCTCCATTGATTTCAAGAGATATTCAATTTTTTTTGTATTTCTTGCATTATCACTTCTCTGATATAAGTTTCACACTTTAATCGCACACAACATATTTAGCGTTGAATAATGTTCACTTTGAAGTCGTTGAACAGGGAAGTGAAATATTTCACTGTGCCGGAGAGCTGTATCATGGTAAATGAGTTAACTTCCCAAGAATCTTACCTTCTCTTCGCGATTAGTGTCTAGCCTTTCGCACGATCGAATCGAGTTCCCTTTCGAATTGCAACAGGATCTCGTGTCCGTTATCTGGTTAGTACAGCGTTGCACACTATGTATGCAGGCTGCTGGTTCCCCCGGTGAATTTAAACACGGTATTAAGTCAAATTGCAACGAAGCCTTGCACACGCGACGATCTTATCACGATGCATACTATCAACGTAAGCCGGTGTATGTGTGCGAGGAAATCAACTCGTTGCAGGCGGTTCCTTTAAATACTTTGCAGAGCGTAGATCGATAGGTCATATTGGAGGATGATACCTCACCTAAATGCACGTGTACACGTGCAGTAATTTTTAATACAGAGGTGTATCCCGTGTAGTTTTATTTTCGCTTTT